CTATTATAGGCTAATAGGCTTTACGCTGCGTGCAGCGCGCAGTTAATTAGCTATATCTTTAATATAATAGAGCGTTAGGGCAAATCCTTAGGAATCTAGCTTCCCAATATACTATACAAGTATCCTCTGCTCTGTCCTCTAAAGATTCGCTAATTTAGGGTAGGAATCGCGTGTTAACTGCGTCCTAGCGCGTTAGCGGCAGAGGGTTGCCTTAGAGACCCTATATACTATAGCAGCGTGTTGCACGCTTAGCTCTTAAAGTTTCTTAATTGCTTAAAGTGCAAGCTTAATTCTATCTTCTTTTAGAAGCAATTCTAGGTTAGGTAGTTGGTCTATTAAGGTTTAAAGGTAGAAAGGCCTAATAGTTTGTTAGGGTAGGTTACTTGCTTAACTACGTTACTTGCTATATACTTACGTTACTACTTATTAAGTATTAGCAGCTAGTTAGTTATAAAAGAAAGATTATAATAGATTGTAATAGTACTTTTAGACTTAGAATTATAGTCTAATTAATATACTCTATAGGCGAGCAGATTATTAGGCAAGTAAATTACTTTTACTAACGTGAGTGTATAGCGAGTGACGCAGTCAAGCGAGTGACGCACCCCAACAAACCATTGGGCCTTCTACGTGCAATTACTCAACACCACAACATTATAATGTAGCTAACAAGATATATCCTTAATCGCTAACGTCTACTACATCTTTTTTACACGTGCGCAAGTTGTGCCCTGTCTCACCGCAGCGCTTGCAGTGCCTTTTGCCCTGCTTGCCTGCACCTGTTCGGGCCCTACCCTCACGCGTTTCCCCCTCTACCTGCGCCTCAACGTCGCGTTGGGCTATCAAATCCTCTGCCTGTTCCTTTGAGAGGTCTCCACCCTTCTGAATCCGCTTTCTTTTACGTGATTTGCGCTCAGAAGCAGCCTTGTTCGATGCTTCAAGCTGCAGCACTCGGGCTGCCAATAACGTCTGCCCATGTAGTAGCATTGCAGTGCCTCTCTGCAGCTGATTAACAATCTCCACCATTGGAGTTGGTGATGATCCTTGGTGCTTTTGAATACGATCGCGAAGCAGCGTTGATTGAGACTCTATCTCGTTGGCGTTGGTGGGTGTCTTGGGGTTCCATTGGGCCCCCCCTGGTAGAGGTGGTGTTGGCGCCCGAAGCTTGACATCAAGCTTTGATAGCACCACCAATGGGTCATTAGGCACTAAGCCAGTTGCCTTAAAGCTTGATGTGATGTTTGCCTTTGAGAACGCCTTCTCAAAAACCTTTGCAAACGTTGCAATGAAGGCCTTCTTGTCAATTCGGCCAATGTGGTCTGTTGCCAAGACTCTGATCTCTTTACTATACTCCCGCTTTAAGGGGGCAAAACAGCCCACATCAAGCGGCTGCAGGATGTGCGACGAGTGTGGAGGCATACACAGAGTAATTATCTTGTTCTCCTTGCAAAGATCCTGGAATGCAAGCGACTTGTGGCTTTCGTGGCCGTCAATTATCAGCAGCACATGGCTACCCACCCTCCGGCCCTTAATCTGCTCAATGAAGTGCCTTAACCAGGCTACACCAATATCGTTTGTAGTCCAGCCGTTGTCGCTGACCCCAATGCGCCATTGGGGCCTTAAATCAGGGTACCAGGACGCGTCATGGTTCTTTGCTTTGAAGATAAGGTAGGGCGCGATTGCCCAGCCTATCGCGTTGATCGCAGCAATGAAAGTTACCCACTCACGGTCTCCCTGTTGCAACCCAATGGGCTCAGTACGTCTCTCTGATGCAGTGACTACTTTGACGCAGTTTCCAATGCCTATAGTAAAGCCAGTCTCATCAAAGTTGTAGGTATCTTCATCCAGGATGCTGTACTTGGCCTTAACATTCTGAACCAGGTCAAACCAGGGCCCAATGACCCCTGGATCGCTGCACAAGACTCTCTGGCGATCTCTCTGTCGAGTCATATGCGATTTTAGTCCAGGTTCGCGTTTGACGAAGTTTGAAGCCCATCGTGGGCCAACAGGCTTTGCGCCGCGTGCAGCGCGCAGTTGATTAGCCATATCTTCAACACAATAGAGCGTTGGGGCAAATCCTTGGGAATCCAGCTTCCTAATATACTGCACAAGTGTCCTCTGCTCTGTCCTCTGAAGATTCGCTGATTTAGGGTGGGTATCGCGTGTTGACTGCGTCCCAGCGCGTCGGCGGCGGAGGGTTGCCTCAGAGACCCTGTACACTGTAGCAGCGCGTCGCACGCTTAGCTCTTGAGGTTTCTTAATTGCTTGAAGTGCAAGCTTGATTCTGTCTTCTTTTAGGAGCGATTCCAGGTCAGGTGGTTGGTCCATTGAGGTTTGAAGGTAGGAAGGCCCAATGGTTTGTTGGGGTGCGTCACTCGCTTGACTGCGTCACTCGCTATGCACTCACGTTAAGCCTTTACTAAAGTATCCTCTATATACTAATACCTTAATAATAACCTAATCTTAATATATTAAAGAAAGCTTAAATATAGCTTATACTTTAAGCTCTTAAATAAGACGCAAAACTCTTATAGTAATGCGCTATAGCTATCTATAATATTTCTTAAGCTATACTAAGTTATTAACTTACTAGATAACCTTTATAAGGTAATACTATACCTAACTTATAAGAGCTAGATAATCTAGAGAAGTAGGTAATTATTAATTATATACTTAAGCTAGATAAGCAAGGATTTAGCCCTTAGCTAGTAGATATAGCTATAATAGCTAATTCTCTGCGCATAGAGTATAATCTAGGCTCTATTAGTATAAAATAGCCTAGTATATTTATAAAGTATTAACTAGAGCTTAAAGTAAAGTTTAATTATAGGTATAACTATAAGTAAGCTCTCTATAAGGATTCTAGAGTTATATAAAGCTAGTTTTCTCTAGTATAAAATATAAAAGCTAAGTATAGTATCCTAGATAATAATATATATAACTTTAATAAGATAGGCTTTATAATAGGCTAAATCTTCTAGAGATTAGTTATTATAGCTTTAGAGAGATAAGGAAAGCTAAAGGTAGTCTAGCTAGGCAACTAGGAGTAGATAATAGTTATATAGGGTATTAATACTAAAGAATAGGCTATTTTACTCTTTATTATCTTTAAGGCGCGCTACTACCTCTCTAGCTAGTATAAGAAAGAAGACCTACTCTAGAATTAGGTTATTATAGTCTCTAGTAACAGCTAGACTACTAATAAGCTTAGTTTTAAGTAGTTAAAGCACTTTAACGCGCATATAAAGGAGCATACTACTAGTACCTACTAACTACTAGTTATTAATAGCTATAAAAGCTATAACTTACTCTAGTTCTAGCAATACTATAAGAATAATAAGATTATTACCTTATATATGCCTTTATACTTATTATATCTTCTTATTAAGGTTATACTTTAAGCAAAGCTTATAAGCACTATTTAATTAGTTCTTAGGGATAAATACTATTAGGGAAACTAAAGGGGTTCTATACTAAGGAGTATAAATATAATCTATCTATTTTAAGGGTAAGAGGTAATAATAAGTAGTATAGAGTAGACTATCTAGCTTAAATGTTAAGTTAAGATCTAATATTATAGATTAATACTTAGGTTAAATATAAACTATAAGAGTTATATTCCTACTTACTATATACTAATACTAAGGTTTGCTTATTAATAAGTAACTAATAAATATCTAATAAAAGGTAATAAAGGTACTAATTAATAAGCAGAGTTATACTATACTTATTAATAAGTAGTAGTCTATGCGCTTACTTATTAATAAGTATATTATATAACTATAATTATAAGTTCTACTTGCTATACCCCTATAACCTAGATAGAACCTACTTAGTTACTTATTATATTATGCTGCACTCCTTTGCAGAATTATAATACTTCTATAGCTACTTAATATAGGCTATTTTACCTCTTTAAAGATAGTATATAGGTGCTAAGCTAAATTACTTATATATAACTAAATTAGCTATATTATAAAGACTAAGTTCCTACTATGCTTTAAAGTAGCCTATAATGCGGTGTTTACCTCTAGTAATAGCTAAGGAGAGTTTTAAGGTGCTAGATTAGTCCCCTTTAACCTAGAACAGGTTATCTTAGCCCTTAATATAAAGCTTTAGACTCTATTACTACTACTCCCTACTAATAATATACCCTAGCAGTTGCAAACCCCTAGTAATACTCTAGAATTTAGGTTATAATTAACTCTAATTTAAGAGAAGTATAAGAGGCAGCAGAGCAGCTTACTAAATTCTATTCTAAGCGCGCTTAAGCACTATGCAAAGGGGGGAGTAATCTTATCCTATAAGCTAGTTTTAGCTTAATAGGAAATTAAGGAGCTTTAAGTAGCTAATAAGGCTGCTATATAATAAAAATTATATAAAAGAAAGCAAGTTTAGAAGGAAGGGACCCTAATAGTTAAAGATAGGTAGTAGCTAGCAGCTCTAAAGGAGTTTAGGGCGCGTAGTAATAGGAAGAGGGCAAAGAAGCAGGTGCGCATTAGACAGGATATAACGCGCAAACGTGCAAGATTAATATAGAAGAGGTCTTTAAATAATATTCTAGCCTATACTATACTATACAGGACTAAAGTATAGTATTTTAGGCTATAATAGGTTAAGTTTTAGTAAGGGCTTAGCAAAAGTAATTTGCTTACCTATTAATCCACTCGCCTATAGGGTATGTTAAGCCTTTTAATATAGGTATAAAGCTTTAATTCTTATTATTTATTAAGCTTTTGTTATAACAAGTTAGCTGCTTAACGTAACCTATTTTCACCTCTATAGCAGCGCGACAACGTTAACTATATAACACTATATTTTTTTATAATATGTGCGTAGTCAAGATTACTAGCTATATCTACTATAACTACCTCTTTAAGCGCAGTATTAAGCAATATTATAGGGTTGAGTTATTGTATTAAGAAATAGTAGTATTATTTGACGCGCGCGTGCACAGGCCTGCCGCGTGCAAAGCGTGCACGGGCACGGTAGGCCCTAAACTAGATTTTGGCCCTTTTCTGCCCGCCTACACCCTCCACTGTGTCTCCGCTCAGAAGAAAGCCAGGATACTCAAAATCCTGACCCGGTTGGAGGGCATGTGTACGCCACGCTCCACCATCTACAACGATGCTCGTTCCAGTAATATAACTCGCTGCTCCGCTGAATAAAAAAATAGTTGCATCAGCAATGTCCAAACTGTTCCCTAGCCGACCTAAGGGTACACGGTCCACCATCACCTCTCTGCTGTCCATCTTTTTTGAGAGGCGGCTCATTCCCTCAGTTCCAGCGATGGCGCCAGGGCAGATAACATTCGATGTTATCCCATACGGCCCGTACTCGATAGCCACACTGTTTGATAGCGCATCGACTCCAGCTTTCGCAGCTGAAACATGGCTTTGCATGGGCAACCCTGTGAAGTGTATCGTGGCGGACACATAAATGATCCTGCCTCCCGGAGCGGAGGTTGATTTTGCGTGCTTTTTCGCCGAAGCAATTAGATAAGGAAGGGCGAGTTTCGTTACGCTGTAGGAACCGAGGACATCGATATCTATAACAGCCTTGAAAGCATTGAAAGAGAGTTGTGAAATCGGCGCAAGAAAGTTTCCGGCCGCCCCAGCGCTTTTGAAGAGGTTCTGTCAGTTGAAGAAGAATTAGATAACGGAATAGAACTCACATTAAAAAATCAATTCCTCCAAGCTCCCGAACGCAGGTTTCCACAGCTCTGCTGAGGCTCTTTGCGTGCCTGACGTCTACGCCCCCAATGCCTAGAACTTTGCTTCCCGGTCGTACAGCAGCTATATCACTGGCCACGGATTCCGTTTTCTCGACTTTACGACCGACCAAGCATGCATTGGCTCCTAAATGCACTAAGGCGCGAACCTGGACTGAACAGATCGAACCATTGCCTCCAGTACAGAAGACAACTTTCCCCTCGAAGATATTCTCCTTCCAAACTGCTGCGGAAAGATATCCGGACTGCTTCTTCGACATGCTACAGGCCACAGTTCAGGACAGCTGTGATGTCTGAATCGGCAGTATGGAGCTATTGAGGGACTGAAATGCGTGTAGAAGTGTCTGTGTAGGTAATGTGCATGGAGCGTTTATGCCGTATTAAAAACAGATGAGATATATAGCGCAGAGGAAACAGGTGCCAAGGTAGCAAAGGGCTCGCGGAAAACAGAGGCTCTGAGTGACGGTAATACCTTTAGAACACTTCCCACGATCCAACCAATCCGACAGCGAAATAAGCTGACCCTAGAGCAAATTAGAACGCGATGCATAGAGACTGTGACGCGTGTACATTTCATGAAAGCTATCCAACTTCGGCCGAGGGTAATTCTTTGATGGTGTTCACTAATCAGCTTACGTACGTAAGTACTGCAGGGCTGAACGAGCGATGTCAATTGAGTAAGAAAATTTTGGTGCATATTCGCAAGCTGTAGCTAATATGAATAGCGTAGGATTCTTCAAGCCTCTACATTTAGCGCCATCAGCAGGTTGCATTAGTGTGAAACGCGCAGGAGGTACTGCGCCGATGTCAAGCATGTTGTTTACGTATGCATCCCCAGAATACAAGGCTTTACAGTCGTTAGTGATTGCGGCTTCACCTCGAACAAAGCTGCATAGACTTTGGAAGCAACGGTGTCTTGCTTACCTTTCCCTACTGGGTGAAGCGCTTGCCTTTGTGGGCAAAAAAACGACGAGCAAATGTCATTCCCGTCTGACGCTTAGCCGGAACGAGTTAGGAGAGCTGATTCATATAGTTGCTCTGCTATATTCGAGGTGAAGCCGCAATCGCTAACGAATGTACTATGTCTCGAAGCTTGATTTGGAGATCATCGAGCCAGCACTATGTGATCCAAGAATTACCGAAGTCGCCCCTGGCATCATATTGTACGGCCGTAAGTATAAAAACAGATGACCTCGGCTACCAAGCTTTGCCAGTGGGTAGGATAATCATTACTCATCTCGGCTGACGGCAGCAGCCGCCACAGGTGGTATAATTTGCAGCCAACATGGAGATAAAGGGGAACCAAGAAGCGTACTCCGCAACAATCACTCCAATCCGCAGTATGCAGCTAGCCCGACTCAATAGGGCTAGAACACATACAAGAAGCTACCAGTGTTGAGTAAGTAACCAATTAAATCAAACTAGGCGTTCTGAGTCCTACTTAGTTGATTGTTGCAGAGTCTGCCAAGAAGAGGGGTATGGACAGACCTCTTTACAAAAATAGCCGGAGGATTCGCTATCAATAATCTCCCGACACTAAATGATCCTTAGTGCGAGCTACGGCTAGAATCCTCCACAGTATCCTTGTGGTTCTGAGATAGTTTATAACCGTCAAGACTATAACCTCGCAAAGGTCCGAGGTGATTAGACACAATTTATTCAAGCTCGCCATCATCGGTTATTGCAATGCCTCAACACTCCCGGTGGTCGGTCTCCGTACCCGAAGTCTCGATATCAACCTACATTTTTGGGTCTCCCTATTCACCTCTCAGCAACCATGTTGCATTTGTCGACAATGACGACCCTTCGAGATTGTACCTTACTTGGTCCACATTACGGCACTGGTCCCAGCGCTTCGCTGCTGGGCTGATCAATGCGGGTATACAAAAAGGGGACCGCATATTAGTTTATAGCCCTAACAGTGTTTTTGTTCCGGTCCTTTTCCATGGTACTATCATGGCCGGTGGAATCTACAGCGCCGCCAACGCGAGGTTTGTGCCACGGGAGCTAGCATATCAGCTACAGACCACACAGGCAACAGTTTTGTTAGTGAGCCCTAGGAACCTGAAGAAAGCCCTAGAGGCGGCCAAATATGCAGGATTAGCAAGGGAGAAGGTTTTTTTATTCGACGAGGCGCCGTTACTCAAACAGGATGGCGGAGAAGATGACAAGGAGAGTGGTGTGAGACACTGGAAGTATCTTATTTCTTCGGAAGAAGTGGGTCGCCAGTTCCAGTGGGAAGATATCACTGGAGAGGAGGCGAAGAAACGCACTGTCGGCTTATCGTTCTCTTCAGGGTATGACTGTCCATTCACCTTTCTTGACCTTTTCACTTACGACCACAGAACCACAGGCCTTCCCAAAGGAGTTGAAGGCAGTCACTACAACCTAATTGCTGGTAGCGTCCAAGCCGAATACGTCATGTCGCTCGACTCCAAAACGCGGACTCGCGAACTAGCAACTCAAAACTGCCGCTGGCTCTGTACGATTCCTTTATATCATGGACTTGGTCTCTTTTATTTTATGGTAATTGCCCCATCTCGCCGTATCCCCACGTATATCATGTCTCAGTACAACCTGAATCGCATGATATCAGCCATAGAAAGACATAAGATCACTGAACTGCACCTTGTGCCGCCGATCATAGTCGAAATGACACAACACCAAGGCATCAGAAATGGGCAGGTTGATCTGAGCAGCGTGACTACGACGTTATCCTGCGGAGCCCCTCTAGGTCCGGAAGTATCTTTGGAGTACGAGAGATTGTGGCCCGAGGGGGTTATGAATGTCAAGCAAGCTTTTGGGATGACCGAGTAAGGCAACGCCCGATTGTTTGCAATTTGGGAACTTAACTGTATGCTGACGAGGGAAGATTGTGCGGCATCTCACTCGGTTGCGACCCTAACCTTCCTGCAGTGCCTGGTTCTGTTGGTGAGCCCATGCCGAATGTGGAGGTTAAACTTGTGGACGACAATCACAAAGAGGTTACAACTGGAGACTTTGGGGAGATGTGGGTACGGTCACCAAGCACCATGAAAGGATATTGGCAAAATTTGGAGGCAACTGATGATACCATCACTGCAGATGGCTGGCTTAAGACCGGCGATATTGCAGTCGTGGACCGAAAGGGCTGCTATTATATCATTGATCGAAAAAAGGTATGACGCTTTGGATAGCATGATACTTATATGCATTATGGCTACTAAGTATCTCTTGTTATAGGAACTCATCAAAGTCAAAGGCAACCAGGTTGCACCCGCAGAGCTTGAGGCGTTGTTGCTTGACCATCCAGCAGTGGCTGATGTTGCTGTGATTGGGGTGAAGAGGTAAGCTTGAGTATTTTAAGCAATTCTCCAACTAATTTGGAAAACCTTTCCTTAGTGACCAAGACGAAGCACCAAGAGCGTATATTGTTCCGGCGTCTCCTATTAGTGAGAAGGATATTCACGACTATGTGAACGATCGAGTCCAAAGCATCAAAAGACTACATGGAGGAGTGTACTTCACGAGCACAATTCCTAGGAACCCAGTTTGTCCTCCATTCTCCTGATGTGGTTGAGCTAATACAGATTAAAAATAGAGCGGGAAGATCCTTAGACGCTTGATCCGCGACCAAGCGAATTCAAAGAAGATAGGGTTGAAGCCACAATTGTAACATTCACTTGACCAAGGGGCTTGATGGACGGAGGTATTGAGGGTGATTGGCAGATACAAAACGTTTTTGAGCGGAATCGAAAATGATGGAGATGCTGGACTGACACCGCAAATGCCGTCTGTAAGGCCAACATATGCAGTTGATAATAGTAGTTTCTCAATATATTCACGGTTGCATGTACTGAGCACATATGACATGAGAATCTTACATACACTAGTGGTCACATTTTATATAACAAAGTACAAGGAATGTTGATGCGAAACAAGAAGGTGAAAAACTTACTTGACAAGCGAGTCAGACTCTCTGCTAAGACCCCACCAAAACGTACTCTTGTAAGAGTATAAAATGCACCCCATAGTAGACCTACTGCGCTGCCGTTGATTATACCAATGAGAGAGTATTCCTTCTACTTGATCGCACGTTTGTATGTTATTCCCCGGCTTCTTACCGACTATAGCGCCTTTGAGTTCGCTTGCTACCCTCAGCGCGTGCACTCTTCCTCGCCTTCTTCCCGTCACTACGCGCTGCAAAACACCTTTAAGCTAGTTTAAAGCACGCCCTATTCAACTCTAAGAGTTCCCTCTGCCTGTATACGCTTTCTTGTGCGTGATTTCTAGTGTGTAGCAGCCTTATTAGCAGCCTGAAGCTGCTTAACTTGGTCGCTCATCAACACCAAGGAATGCGCCATTACCTCTGCACCTTTAGTAAGCTCTTTAACTGTCTCAGCCATTGAGGAAGGCGAGCTATCTACATGCCTTCGCATCCTTCCGAATCAGCGTCGATTGCGGCCCAAATTTTGGGGTGTTGCTTGGAGTTTTAGACACCCAGGGCGCGTAGTCGATGGTGGGTGGTGTAGGCGTACGAAGGCGGGCATCAAGCTTCGACATCACCGCCTCCGTGTCAGGTGGAACTAAGCCAGCACCTCGAAAGCCTGCCTAGAGATTGCTTTGAGTGATCACATCCTTAAAAGCAGCTGCTTACTCTTTGATCTGAGAGCTTTAACACTGCCACAAGCTGCTGCGTCTTGAAAAATATAAGAATTAATCAACTAACGCAGCTGTACCTTTTTACATGTGCATTATAGTGCCATGACTTGCCGCACCTTTTGCGGTGCTGGGTTCCCTTACTGCTACCACCTGCTTGCCTCCTCTCCTCACCCCTCCCCTTCTTAGCTCGCACCTTCGCGTCCCGCTGAGCAATCAACAGCTCTATTTCTGCCTAAGCTAGAATCCCTCCTTTACGAGCTCGCTTCTTTGTGCGCTTTTACGCTTAGAAGCAATCTCATTCTTAGTCGAGCTCTTAGGATGGTTCGGCGCGTTGCGCCCATAGACACGGTACCCAACTATTGTACCTTCTGGCGGTGGCGCCATCTTAGGTGTATGATTTTGCCTGCTAATGCGTATGGGCATCAACCCAGCGGTCGTGCAACGCAACGAATACCGTAAGTTCGTGTCGGAACGATGGTTCCGCAAGAGCGTGGCAAAGACGGACCGCATGATGTTCCAGGTATGTGCTCCCAGCCATACTACAAGCAAACTCTATAGCATGCAAGCTGAGATCATAACAATTTGGGAGCGGCTCAGGCGCCTGTATCGGAAAGTACGTAAGTCTTGCACGGTTGGATGTCGCAAGGATAAGCTAATACCTTAGATCTCGCTGTGCGTAACATACAAGCTAATATCTCAACTCCTCTACTTCCTTTACATGTTGTCTATAGAACTGGAGAAAGGATAGTAGATGCGCAATTACTCGTTCAACAAGCTGTTCGGAGTACGCTGCATATAGGTTACTTATCTTAGATAGCTGTAAGAGCTATCTTAACTAGGAGTTTAAGGACTACCGTGTCCGTGCGCGTGATGCGCGGATTCGCGTGATGCGCCGAACCACCAAAACACCTCTATACTCACACATCCACAACAACACAACGCAATAGGATTATAAGAAGCCCTCTTAGAGTGTAATACTTTTGCATCTAAAGATAGGATTCTATAGACTAAAATAGCATAAAAGCATAGTATTGTGCAGTTAACGTTAACGCGCATATAGAGGGGTAAGACGCGCCTATATTAGGAGAAGATTATTACACAATAGAAGCTTACCCCCTAATAAGAGGAGAAGCTTATAACTTATATAAGAGAGCTTACTACTTATTCTATACCTCCTATAAGGGAGATAATATAAAATTTTGCATCTTCTATAGCTAAGAATTGCATAAGCAAGAGCTAGGTTACCTAGTTTATTAATACCTACGCTATCTATCTTATCTCTAAATACTTAATAGGTATAGATACTAATTACTATAATACTAATTTATATTAAAAGTATAAGCTTTACTTTAACCTACTATAATATAAGATTACTAAATATAAAGTTAATAGCTACTATATATATAATATAGATAAGAAGGGCTTTATAATAGAAGTTACTACTAGGATAAAATATATCTTTAGTAGATAGATATAGAAAAAGGGGAAGGTTAAGGTATTACTTTAAGATAGTAATAAGGTATAGGTAATGCTACTAGCTTATATATATAGTAATAGGATAGTACTACTACTAGGTCTCCTCTATAACTCTACTAATAGTACTCTATAATTAAGCTAGGTAGAGAAGATAGAGCTAGGGGTATACTTAGTATTTGTTTCCTTATCCCCTACTAGCTAGACTAATAATAATATAGGTCTTGCCTAGCTTTAGCAGGTGTTTAATTACTTTACTAAGACTAAGGTATAGAGGAACTAGCACTTTCTAATCCTTAATAGCTATAGATTCTATATAATAATAGATTTTATTAACTATTATAATTAGAATAGAATACTTCTAGCTATTCTTCTTTCTTACTTAATATATATACTATAGCTATTAGATATAGTAATATTTAAGCCTTTCTTAACTATATACTTAAAAGAGCTTATAATATACCTTTATAATAGCTAGAGACTATTAGTAATTAAGAAGAGTAACTTCTTCTACCTATTCTAGAAGGCCTAGATAAGTATATTTACTTAAGGGCTAATACTTAAGTCTTTTAAGGTAATAGGTATAGTACCTCTCTAACCTAATATTATACTCTAACGCTTTACTAAGAACTCTCTAGAAGCTTCTAATACTAGTAGAAGCTCTTCTTTAACTTATTCTAGTAAAGATTAGCTTAAAATTAAGACCTTGCTATAGAAGGTAGCTAAGAATAAGAGTAGTAAGAAGCTAAGGAAGATTAGCTAATCCCTTTACTATATCTTAGTCTAAAACTAGCTACTCTACTATAAGATAGTAGGCCTAAAAGAGGTTCTTAAAACTTAGAAGAAGTATAAAAAGAAGAGAAAACCTCTTAACTTCTAGAAACCTAAGAACTATTATAGTAGAGTAGTATTTTACTCTCCTTATAGGGTTAAGAAAGCATATTAGTATAAGTAGGTAAAATAATAAGAAGCTAAGGTAGAAGAGGTTAGAAAAGTAGAGATAGCTAAACTTAGGTATACTAATAAGCTATATAAAGAAAAGCTTTAATAGAAGAAGTATAAGTAGTAGGTAAGAGAGAAAGAAGAGAGAGCCTAGGTTAAAGCTAAGAAGATAAAAGAAGTAGCTAAATATAAGGCTAAAAAATAATATTAGAAGAAAGCTTATAATACTATAAAAGCTATATAATTATTCTAAAGAAGTAATAAGATAACTTTAAAAGCTTCTATAGTAAGACGTAAGCCTATATATTATATAGTAGGTACTTATAGTTACCTTATATCTATAATACCTCCTCTACCTACCTATACTTATACTACCTATAGTAGCTAAATAGTAACTCTATATAAGTAAAATATATAAGAGAATATTATTATATAGGTTTATAGAGTACTCTAATAAAATATCTTATAATAATAACTATTAAGTATAGCTCTATAGCCTTATTTTTAAGTAAGCTATTTTAGTAGTTTAGCATATTATATAAATCTACGCATTATATATATAGATATAGTATTACCTAGAAAATAAAATTCTTACTCTCTAAATACTATATCTATATGCGTAATAACTAGATTTATATAATAACTAAAAACTACCTTAATACTTAGAAATAGATAAGGTTATAAGGCTACCTATAATAGCTATTATTATAAGATTTTATAGTATAATATACCTTATAGGCAAGCAAGCTAATAGGTAAGTAAGCTACTTTTACTAAGCCCTTACTAAAACCTAACCTATTATAGCCTATAATACTATACTTTAGCACTCTATAGTAGACTATAGTATATAATATTATTTAGAGACCTCTTCTATATTAATCTTATATATTTACACGTTATAACTAGTCTAGTTATACCTTCTATAGTGCCTTTAGGTAGGCTTACTCTCTTAAGTGCATACTTACTTCTTCACCTTCTTTCTATTACTACGCGCCCTAAACTCCTTTAGAGCTGCTAGTTACTACCTATCTTTAACTATTAGTGTCTCTTCCTTCTAAACCTACTTTCTTTTATATAATTTTTATTATATAGCAGCCTTATTAGCTACTTAAAGCTTACTAATTTCCTATTAAGCTAATACTAGCTTATATATAATAATTATAGCTCTCTTTATTACCTTCTTAAATGCTTTAACTATAGATATAGAAAAGCTATCTATATACCTCTAAATTCTTGTCTTTATAAGAGTTAATTATAACTTAAGTTCTAGAGTATTACTAGAGGTTTATAACTGCTAGAGCTTATTATTAATAGGTAGTAGTAGTATTAGAGTCTAAAGCTTTATATTAAGGGCTAATATAACCTATTCTAGGTTAAAGAGAACTAGTCTAGCATCTTAGAACCCTCCTTAGATATTACTAGCAGTAAATACTATATTATAGGCTACTTTAAAGTATAGTAAGAACTTAGCTATAAGAATTAAATACTAACTTAAATCTTATAAATAAGATACTACCTAACTTAGACGCCCTCTAATTTAGGTCTAACTTAACTCTAAGTTAGAACCTTAGTATATCTATAGCTACCTAGAACTAATACCTATCTAACTTAGTTCTAATATAACCTTATTATTATTTCTTATCTATCTATAGCTACCTAAAACTAGTAGGTATAAAGGGCAGGTTTATAGTAGGCTAGAATAGATAGTTTTTAAGTATTCTTTATATAAGACCTATAAGAATAAGATTCTCCCTAGTTATTAACTTTTCTAGTACTTCTATATACTTTATAGTAGAATTAGAACTATATTAGAGAGTTTTATTACCTATATTATTGTATTAGCCTTTATAAGGTAGCTAATCTAGTTATATATAAGTATTTTAGCTTAGCGCCTATATACCTTCTTTAAAGAGGTAAAACAGCCTATATTAAGTAGCTATAGAAGGTATAATAAGTAAAAAGGCATATATAGAGTAATAATTTTATTATTCTTATAGTTTTACTAGAATTAGAGCAAGTTATAGCTCTTATAGCTATTAATAACTAGTAGTTAGTAGGTACTAATAGTATACTTCTTTATATACCTATTAAAGTGCTTTAACTACTTAAGACTAAGCTTATTAGTAGTCTAGCTATTACTAGAAACTCTAATAACCTAGTTCTAGAGCAGGTCTTTCTCTTTATACTAGCTAGAAAGGTAGTAGTGCGCTTTAAAGATAATAAAGAGGTAGATAGCCTATTATTTTATATAAATACTCTATATAACTATTATCTACTCCTAGTTACCTTACTAAACTACCTTTAGCCTTCCTTATCTTTCTAAAGCTATAATAACTGCTTCTTAGAAGATCTAGCCTATTATAAAGCCTATCTTATTAAAGTTATAGGTATTATTATTCTAGATACTATACTTAGCTTTAATATTAGCTACTAGGCTAAACTAGCTCTATATAACTACTAAATTCTTGCAGAGAGCTTACTTATAGTTATACCTATAATTAAACTTTACTTTAAGCTCTAGCTAACGCTTAATAAATATACTAGGCTAGTTTATGCTAATAGGGCCTAGATTATGCTTAGCGCGCAGAGAATTAGCTATAGCAGCTATATCTACTAGCTAGGGGCTAAATCCTTATATATCTAGCTTAAGTATAACGTAAAGCATCAGCGAGCCGGCCACACCAGCGAGCCGGCCACTTTTCCTTGGCACTGCGAACACTACATACAGGATAAGCAATTACTCACTACCCTTTGCAGAACCTGCGTACGACGCACTTTCATCAGATGCAGAATCTTCTTCTGCATCTTCCTGGCACGTACGCGCGTTGTGCCCAGTCTTCCCACAGTTGCCACAGTGCCGTTGACCTGGTTGGGCTCTTTCATGACCACTCCTAACACGCGCTCTTTTTAACACTGTACGAGCTGCAGCTGCGCTTTCAGCTATAGAAGCTGCTGCTTCACCATACTCTACTGTACCACCATGCTGGATCTGCTTTCTTTTCCGGGTTTTGCGCTTAGTAAGTACTGCTAATTGCTCTTCAAGCTCACGAATGCGAGCTGCTTGTACAACATTCTCATGTAGCATAAGCTCACCACCTTTTACAAGCTGTGCAAACCCCTCTCTTGCTACTTCTGGTGATTGTACAATAGCTTGCCTTACAAGCCTTGCCTGTGACCCAAATTCATGTGAATTGCTTGGTGTTTGGGATTGCCATGGTGTTTCTGGTAGGGGTGCTGGTGGTGGCGTACGAATCTGAACATCCAGGCGATCCAAGACACGCTGCGCGTTAATAGGCACAAGCCCTGAAGCCTCAAAGGCGTTCTTGCAGTTCTCGTACGTAAACACGTCGAAAAATGCGTCTCTAAAGGCTGGAAGGAAGCCTTCTTTGTTAATGTGGTAGACGCGTTTAGATGCCAAGGCTCGTACGCGTTGAGAGTACTTTAGTTTCAACGGTGAGAAACACACCACATCAAGTGGCTGGAGGATGTGTGATGAGTGAGCAGGCATACAAAGGGTAAGGATCATGTTTTCCAGGCAGTAATCCTTAAACTCTTGGTTAAGGTGGCTCTCATGGCCGTCCAAAATAAGCAGCCTATACAAGCCCTTTTGACGCGCCTTTGTATGCTGGTCAAAGTGCTTCAACCACTCTAGGCCAAGCTGATTGTTTGTCCATCCGTTCTCAGAGACAGAGAGCTTCCAGTCGTACGGTATGTTGGTCTCCTCATACCAGGCAGAGATGTGTACACGCCCTTTGTAGATAATAAAGGGTGGGATAGCATACCCAGCAGCACAGATGCTCTGTATAGCTGTAACCCACTCCCGATCACCTGGCTGGATAAGGTTTGGTCTTGTACGTCTCTCTGAACCTGTAACAACCTTCATTGAGCCAATAATTCCCATCTGGAAGCCGGTCTCATCAAAGTTGTGGATGTCCGCATCCTGAACCCCATACTTGTCTTTTGTGTCCTGTACGAGCTTAAACCAGGCGTTGATAACTCCTGGCTCCTCCTGGAGTATTCTCTGACGATCCTTTGCTCGATTGAAGGCCATTTTAAGCTTCTCTGTTCGCCGGACGAATCGCTCTGCCCAGTTCTTGCCAACAGGTGTCCCACCACGTACAGCGAGAAGTTTATCTGCAATATCTGCCACCTCAGAGAGCCTAGGGGCAAATCCGCGCGAGTCAAGCTCGAGTATATATTGTACGATTGTTTGCTCTTCAGTTACAGAGAGCTTCTGGCTGTTTGGTAGTGCTTCTTGTCGAAATGTGATTTTGTGGAGCCGGTCAGAGAGCCGTTGATGACGTACGTTGTAGGCTGCAGCAGCGCGTCGCACGCTTTGAAACTGTCCCTTAGTGTACGCCTGAAGGGCAAGAGTAAGTCTACCTTCTTGTTGAGTTAATTTCTGCTTGTGTTGTTGTTGCATGTTGTATTGTACGGAGAAGTTGCAGTGCCAAGGAAAAGTGGCCGGCTCGCTGGTGTGGCCGGCTCGCTGATGCTTTACGTTATACTTAATAATTACCTACTTCTTATTATTATCTAATCCTTATAAGTTAGGTATAGTATTGCCTTATAAAGGTTATCTAGTATATTAATAGCTTAGTATGCTTTAAGGCACCTTATAGATAGCTGCAGCGCGTTGCTATAAGAGATTTATGCCTTATTTAAGAGCTTAAAGTATAAGCTATATCTAAGCCTTCTTTAACGCGTTAATAATAGGTTATTATTAAGGCATTAGTATAAGAAAGTATTAATATTATACATTAAGTAAAGCTTATAAGCACTATTTAATTAGTTCTTAGAAATAAATACTATTAGAGAAACTAAAGAGGTCTTATACTAAAGAGTATAGATATAATCTACCTATCTTAAGGGCAAGAGGTAATAATAAGTAGTATAGAGTAGACTATCTAGCTTAAAGGTTAAGTTAAAATCTAATATTATAGATTAATACTTAGGTTAAATATAAACTATAAGAGTTATATTTCTACTTACTATTACTTAAGCTATCTTAGAGAATCTTATAGTCTTATAGAACTCTATCCTAAAGTCTTATAGAATTTTTAGAGACGCTAGTTATTTATCTTATAAATTCTATAGCTTACTTAGCCTTTATCTTATAAGACGCTTTACTCTTTTAGTACTAGTATCTTATATATAGCATACTATTATTACCTATAGAGTAATAGCCTTCCTAGTAGTTATTATACTACCTTATACTATTTATTTATAAAACCTAGCATTTTCTTTCTTAGAATTTATATTTATAATAGATAGTAATTATATATAGATTATATTACTAGCTTATATATATAGTAATAGATTAGTACTACTTTTAAGCCTTATCTATAAGTCTACTAACTATACTATCTAATTAAGCTAGGTAGAAAAAATATAGTTAGAGAAATATTCTATGCTTATTTCTTTATTACTTACTAGCTAGACTAATAATAATATAAGCCTTGCATAGCTTAAGCAGGTTTTTAATTACTTTACTAAGACTAAACCTTAAAAAAAGTAGCACCTACTTATTTTTAATAGCTTTAGTTCTTATATAATAATAGACTTTATTAACTACTATAATTAGAATAGAATACTTCTAGTAATTTTTTCTCTTTACTTAACTTATATACTATAGCTGCTTAATATAGTAATAGTTAAGCCTCTATTAACTACTTACTTAAAAGAGCTTATAATATACTTTTATAATAGCTAAGGGCCCGGGGCCTAATCCACCCTGGGTCGAATTTTGTGTTCCGATTTTGTGAACCCCCCCCCCCCCCCCCCCCCCCTGGATTTTGAGACGAATTTTGCCAAGTACACTAGCGGCAGCCGATATTGCTGAGCGACCGATAGCGACGGTGACGACACCAACACCACAACGATCAAGCACCACGTCTTAGGCAGCTGTTTGGCAGCTTCAAACACGTTCACATTGACACATTACAGTTATCTACCGACCGAGTCCAGTCACACTGCAGGTCCGCCAAACGCAGTAATTGTTCAAGCCATGACCCCGAGGTCCATCTACCCAAACTCAGACAACGAAAAAGTCGCACACGACCGCCGCCTCCCAGTCTCAACCAGGTCGGAAAGCCCTCTCACACGAGCAGCAACCTGAGCCATTCCACGCCTGCCTTGTTCACCAGCTGGTAATACTTGTTCCCGACTGCCCCGCCTGTGGTAATCTTGTCTCGAATAATTCGAATTTGCCGGTTTACACTCACTCTCTCCTGTGTAGTGAGAGCAGGTGTGCGAGCCCGTACCACCTCCTAACCAAACCAGACTAGGCCCAGCAACTCGTTCAAGGTCAAGGTGACCATTCTATCGGTGGCTTGAGAAAGGTGGTCAATGCCGCATATTGCGCGTAGCGACGGCTCGTTGATGTGTCCTGGTGTGTCCAATACCACCTGGATTGAAGGCATGAGGCTGCGAAGTTGGTATGTGAACAGCACTGGCACCGGATCGATGTGTGTTGCTGGTGCAGCAAGGGTGATGGTGTAGATGCTGTTGGAGTCGAATGGGAGCGACATTTTGCAGTGTCGTGGGTTGGATATTCGACCACTTGGAAGGAGAGGATGATTGAGATGATGGACTCCAGCTGCGAACAGTGAGAATGCTCTTATTTTGAACGGCATGGAACACCGACTGGTTCATGGTCTGCTCCTACCATGGGAAGACCCTCGGAGTCACAGGTCTTCCATGGTATTGCGGGTTGAATATGGTTCAGGGACTCAAAAAACTTTCGAGCCACCCAATGATCCATGGTTGTGGACAGCTGCACTCGCGATCGTTGAGTCAACTTCGCAGTCATACGCACAATATGGCTCGCGCAATACGTCGCGTCCCTGAAGCTCTTAGAACCGCACGTGATTCACAATGCGTGAGTGTTAGTATCCTCAGAATATACTTTGCTGCAACAAGTACGTAACAACGTTTATGCTACAGGCAGACAGCTTTAGCCTGTTTTATAAGATTTTTCGCAATATACCCCTATTTTTCGTGCTTTATTAATAAAATTATAATAGCTAAGAGCTGTTAGTTATTAAGAAGAGTAACTTCTTCTACCTATTCTAGAAGGCCTAGACAAGCATATTTACTTAGAGGTTATAACTTAGGTTTTTTAAAGCAATAGGTATATTACTTCTTTAACTTAATATTATTCTTTAACGCTTTGCTAAGCTCTCTTCTAAGGCCTCTAATAGCAGTGGAAGCTTTTATTTAGTTTACTCTAGCAAGAACTAGCTTAAAATTAAAACTTTACTATAAGAAGTAGATAGAAGTAAAAGTAGAAAGAAACTAAGAAAGATTAGGCACTTACTCTACTACATATTAATTTAAAACTAGCTACTCTACTATAAAATAGTAGGCTTTAAAGAAGTTTTTAAGATATAAAAAATTTATAAGAAAAAAAGTAAAGTTTTTAACTTTTAGCATACTTAAAAGTATTATAGTAGAGTAGTATTCTAGTTTTCTTATAAGAATAAAGAAGCTTACTTATATAAGTAAGTAAAGTAGAAAAAAGAGTAAGTAGAAAACCTTTAAAAAGCTAAGATAGCTAAGCTTAGGTAGGCTAGTAAGCTATATAAAGAAAAGCTAGATTAGAAGAAGTATAAGTAGTAAGTAAAGAAAAAAAAGAATAAGACTAGCTAAAAGCTATAAAGGCTTAAGAAACAGCTAAATATAAAGTAAAAAGAAAGTATTAGAAGCAAGCTTATAACGCTTAAAAAGCTCTATAATTGTTTTAAAAAGGCAATTACAAGACTTTAAAAGCTTCTATAGTTAAATAGAAGCCTGCGCGTTATGCTATAGGTGCTTATAGTTAGCCTAAGCCTATAACGCCTGCTTTACTAGCTTATACTTATACTACCTGCAGCAGCTATACTATAACTCTATATAATTAATTTATATAAAGAAATATTGTTATATAGGTCTATAGAATAAACTACTATAATATTATAGAATAATAACTATTATACGTGGCTCTATAGCCTTATTTTTGCAGGTGCTAGTTAGAGTAGTTTAGCGCACGCAAATCTGCGCATTACGCACACAGACACGTTACCGTGTTCGTGCACGTAATGCGCGTTTCGCGTAATGCGCACTTTACTACTTTTTAGGTACATTTTACATCTACTATAACTCTATACTATAATGCCGCTCTAAGAAGCCCTTGCAAAGATAGATAGATTAAGACTAGGCGCAAAACTTTTATACTAAGCACTTGCCTAAAAATATAGTTGTTGCTGCTTAACTTTAACGCGGAGGCACAAGAACCAAGTAGTACCACATACTGTTAAGATTAATAACTAGCAACTTCTCTACCCACGCAATAAGGTAGAGGTAGTAGAGTATATTAGAGGACTTACAAAGAGAAACATAAAGCCTACACAGCAGATAGTAATAAATTTCATAACGCCTCTGTGTTGTTAGGCACCCTCTAAGGCATAGGTTACCTAGTTTCTTAACCGCAATTTAGATCTACTTATTAATGCGTGGACGACGCCTATAGATCGTAATTGTCACTACGCCAATTCTATTAATAGCTATCAACTATACTTTAAGCTCCTGCACAGTAAAATGAAATCCTGACAGGCTCAGACAATCCATCAGTGTACGGATGGGGTCGAGCAAGCACGGCGTCGTTACCGGGACTGCAGTCTGCACTGGGAGGTCAGGTAAGCTTTGTCTAGCGACGAGCTGCTCTTCCAACTTCCAACTCTGACTCCAAAACAGATGCCTGCGTTCAAGTCCGTGCCGAGCTCAAGTGGGGGCATCGTTGACCTGGTGGCTCACATGCCGACATCCTACGTCAAACAGGCGCTTGGCAGCGTGTATGCTGGGTGTGGTTCGAGTGACTTCAGTTCCTCTCCACTCAACCCTCCTTCAACGCCTTGTGTCTTCGCTGGCGCCAATCCGTCAGGATGCATCCCTGAGTCGCTTGACAGCGTGTGTTCTGAGTGGAGTGCCGTCGACTTGAACTCTTCCCTGACCGAGCTTAAACCTTCTTTGGGCGACCCCATTTGGCCATCTACCTTTGTAGGTGCGCCCGCACTTTCAGGCGGGCCCAACAGCCTGTGTGCAGGGTGGGGCTATGGTGACTCCACCACCTTTCCATACGATCTGTGTCTGGCATCTAGTGTCCTTGGCAGTGCAACTGGACTTAGAGATGGCATGCCTACCTGTGGACTTACAACCTACGGCTCAGTGCCTGCACCGTTTTTTGGGGAGGAGGACGGGTTCTGGAATCTGTCATGTCACTTTCAAGCGTTGTAGTTCTCCACGAGGAAAGGGTGCATGCAGTAGGCAACGTGCGATATCGGCGGTGTTCTGTATATGCTAGCAACCATCAACACAAGGCATGATACTCGTCGCGGATAGATGTAATGCATTGTAGCCTGACTGTTCAAACTGAGTCTCCTGCCATGTTATGCGACGCGTGGACCGCGTTCAAGAATGCCCGACACAGTCCCGGCACAGCTGCAGCAGATCGTGGCATTGCAATGAGTGTTTCACTTAACAGTATTAGCTCGGATGAACCAGCCCAGTTCATCTACAGAAACCTCACGGCACGGTATTTGTCAGAGGTCGAGCGCTGTTGTAGATGTGGATCGCAGCTAATCGTGCAGCGCGAGGGGTTGAGTAGGTAAAAGCCGAGCTAAGATGCTGTGACAACACAACATGCACACTCTTCTTGATTGACAACATGCACACAACCCACACCGAAACGTGCAACGGTACCCAGTCTAACTCCCAGTCATAACAGTGCTGATCTCCACCGTCAAACAAGCGCTGAAGATGGGTCAGGCAGCCCCCGCATCTCGTGCTCTTCATCTTTCACAACAACCACCCAGGCGCCCGTCTCGCTCTTGATCTCAACGGTAAGTTTGCTCGTCTCCAGAGGCCCGCAGTCAGGTCCAGTGGCGATACCCACACCAATGGCAACCTCACCACTGCGATGGCAGTGAACGGGCGAAGATACACAGACCTTGTTGCAAGGGAGACCGGGCCCCGACAGCTGTTCTTCGCAAATTTGCATGCCCTTGACTATAGTCAGATAGAGACAGCGAAAGCCGGCCGCACTCTTTTAACTCTCCCGGCTCAGTGTCTTGACGCTTTGGGATGCAAGTGCGCATGGTAGACGCTCTTTTCCTGCCACCGCATCGTAAGTCGAGCACGCGTCTAGCCCCAACAGCGTCTGATCCCCTAGTTTCCCATATTGAGACCCGGTTTGTGGTACGATGGTGGCAATCTGGACAAGGCTGGAGACATCTGAGTCGCATGGGAGCAGACCGTGGATGGTTTCCCGTGATGCGGGCGAGCGTCAGGTTGAAGAGCGTGATCATCCGCAAAGACAGTATCTGTAGCGTCACGTTGCGAAGACGAAGACATACGCTTGGGAGGAAGAAGTCGTTTGACGGACCCTCCCCTCCGATATTATTTTTAGTCTGGATAGCCACTGCACGGATATCCGCTCCGTTGGCAGCAGTCACACACTGGCTTTCTGGGTGCGTGTGGGGCAATGGCACGGATTAGCTCCACCTGCCCGTCAGGGCCTTAGTAGCCCTAATATGCGCCCTCCGTGGCTTCACCAACCTCCTTGCAATGAAGAGCTTCATTAGATTATGAAATGCACCTGATGATTCGAAAATTGTAGATACTTCAAGTCCCAGTCTGCTGCATCGTGCCGTTCCTTCCCTCTGTCATGGCTTTCTGGCATGCAACCATCATCTGCGCCATCCGCGCCATCTGCCCCAGCCTGCCCAGCACGATCTCGTTCCCCTCCCGGGCTCCGTAGTAGTAGCGGCGATATCTGAGACAGGTTGACGCGTAGGTGCCTACGGCTGTGTTCTGTAAGGTCTTTGGGGTAAGGAGCTGAAAGTGTCTACGTATAAGTTGCGGAGACGATGCGATGCTTCAGGAAATTTCAAGGGCCTGAACAGAGGCCCGAGCTGTTCACGGTCTCAGCTTTCGTCAGTCTAGCATTGAAGACGCATCCGCGAACCGTTGCTGAAGCATTATGTGCATGACGGATGGTGACGGCAGGCTGCGAGAAGACAATACTACTATCATTGTGACCTGTTTCATCCTACCAATCAAGTGCAAAAAAGCTAGGTACAAGCACGCGCGCGGCAGGATGCCCTTTCAAGCTGGTCCTCTGCTCTTTTGCCAACCATTTTGCTTCTCTTTAGACTACCTAGCGTCTGCGAGTAGTTGGTATGGCGTCTGGCTCTATGGCTAAACCAAGATTAGGTTATGTGCGGGTAGACAGAGAAGCCCGCCCTGCCATATGCTCTAATCTTGCATTAGTTTGACCGTACACTTTGACTGACTTCTTGATGCTGAGAATCGACGGCTCGCGAAGACAGACGTTCGTGACTGACTTCGTGGCTTGAACGAATCGTAGATTTGTTAACCGATGCTATTACGAGCTTTCGCTCGGATTTGTCGCGTGCATCAATCAACCGATCGACAGTGCTCTTCGCGTATATCTGGACGATATCGAGAGGTCTTGTCGTACCTAGACCTAGACTAACCCTGGCTTTCGGATGTCATCATTTGGTTCTAATGTGCAAAAATCCATCGTACGTCAAAAGGCGCTCTTCTCAGAGGAATCATGAATGAAATGCTTTCGTTTCAATCGTTGGGATTAATTATGGCGCTGTTATGACTGTCGGAGTATTGCCGCAAAACCGTGCCCAGTCTTCTAGGGACTCATTCTAGAGTAGGAATGCACAGTTAGGAATAGAGCGCATTGCCCGCACTCGCTCACCGTGCTGATTATTCAGGAGTCCCAGAAAACAAACTTAGCACGCTAGCTAAACTCATTCTAGATTATAATAATTTGGTCCTTTCATCAAACTTGAGATGATCACTGATAGCAAGGGCAAGATTCCGCTTGGCATCGAGTGAATGGCGCCGGCGCTGTTGTCGACACTTGAGTTGAGCCTCCATCAGTTGTTCTTGTATATGAGTGCGGTTTTGCCCATTCAAATGCACATGTTCAGTATTCAGTAGTTCGGTCAAGATTGCAACGACTCCATGGTATACTGGAAGGAGTTGATCGCACTGCTCGTGGTGCTGGTCATCGCTCTCGTCACGAGGTATCGCAGAAGAGCCTATCCTACTAAATAGCTAAGCCTTCATTAGTGATAACGTCGCAACCAACAGCTTACGATGTCAAAGGTGTGAGGCACGGGTCCCAGAGCTCGTCTGAGACGACCTCCAAAAGCAGGTCTAATAGAAAGTGGAGGAAACTGCGGCGCTCAAGAACCTCCGTTTGTTTTATATCGATGCTTTCGCTATTTGCTGACATTTGCTGCAGTCCTTGTCAATCGAAACGATGCTTCAAGAAATCAAAAGTGCCATGTCATACTTCAAGAATCTTTTATCTGGGTCTATCGAAGCTCTCGTGTAAAGTAATGGAGCGAGGTGAGGTATACACAACCCACCAATGTTGATGTACGACTTTATTCGATGTGGAAGGGATTATCAGTGTGACGTTATTTTAGCCAAGCACCACGTGACGCCTCGCTCGCCGCCGACACTCAGCCAATAAGACTAAACAGTCACTATGATTCTAGTACGAACATGGGCGCAGGAGCGCCTACTCCGCAGGCGGGCGTTCTCTTATTAAGATGAATAAAACATTCGAAATACTCCCCGGCATGATAGGAACCTTAAGGAAGTCAGTCAAAGACAGAGAAGGCATTATCTAGTCGGCACTCCGATAAAAGTAGCTTGATGCTGGATGATGTCACAATTATGCCAATGCCGCGCCAGAGCTGCCTTTTGATGCCAGGGCACCACATCATATCTGCGTCATCTCCCTCACTTCCAAGCTTATGTCCATTTCGCAGCTTGATACGCTAAGGTTCTTCATTACCTCCATTTACTATCAACATCCAGATACTCACACCTCGGGACAAGGCCATCCTACACCTTCACCGGCTTCACTCTGCAGTCTTCGCGAGATTGTGTGTGGTTCACAAGGAGGTAATCATTCGAAGTGTGAGCATGCACAATAAACATGGCAGACGTTCGCCAAAACTCATTCGCCAAGATTTGATCAACCACTATCTACCCTCCGCCTCCAAGCTTGTCTAGATACTGGTCCTACTAACTATACGCTGTGATTCTAGGCTCATAGAGGCGCATTGCCTCATCTGTTGCGTCCGCTGTACCTACAGTCTCTCCCCAGCGCTTGGCGTTGTCTGTGTATCTCTGATCCCCACTTGCCCAAGGATCTGCGTCTGTTACATATACTTGATAGCTTTCGTGGCTAGCTGCGGCGTGCTCAGGATAGTCCTGAGGCTGTGTTGTCTGGATAGGTTGGCGAAGATGCGGTTCTAGAGGTCCTTGTACTTGCTGCAGCGGGGGCTAGGGATGTCTGGAACGTGTTGTTTGAAAAGGAAGTCGTTCAGTCCGATCTTCTTAGTCCGCAGCTGCACCAGCAGCGCGCTTTCTCTCTTGCTGAGCCTCTCGTAGAGCTGCAGCACTTTCTTGGTACGTGTTGGCGTGTGCCTGTATGTCGTGCGGCCTTTCTTGTCCTCCCTCCATGCATGGATCCACTGTTGTTCTGCCTGAGTCTTGCACCATCTCTAGAGTGTTGTTCTAAGTGGGTATAACTAAGAAGGCAGGCCTGCTGGCTGCTGGCTGCGGCCGTCCTCCCTCCATCCGGCGGCTTCCTTGGCAGCCAGGTTGGCGGCCTTGTTTCCTGGGATGCCCACATGGGCCGGGATCCATCAGACAGTCACCAAGTATCCTTTGTCCTGGAGCTCCAGGACCTGTTGGGCTATGTCCGCGAGGATGTACGCGCCTGATTGCCCCTCTGCCTTGGCTACTAACTAAATAGCTGCTTGGTTGTATGTATAAATGGCTATCTGTTTGCATTTGCTGCCTTTGTCTGCATATTCCTGCGCGATCTACAATGCTAGGCTAATGCCCTGCAGCTCTGCTGCGTATACTGTTAATAGTGTGTCTAATCCTATGTGTACTGATAGTGTCTGCTGTGTTATTAGGCACACCGCCGCAGAGCCAATCTTGCCTTTGATACTGCTGCCGTCTGTGTAGATGCTGAGGCTTTTTTCTGCTGTACATTCTCTATTGTGGCGGTTGCGTGCCTTGTTGGCGTCGTTATCAATATACGTTTGTAGCCCTCGTCGCTATAGGGGCGTAATGAATGGTGGTATAGGTTCCTGTTCCTTGAGGTTGCGCACCTGTTGGTTCCAGAGCTCTTTGTTAATCTTGTACTATGGACTTTCACGCAGCTTGCAATTTCTCCTTGCGACTACTGGTGCGGGCTCGTTTAATTTGAAGCCTGCCGTCTTTGCAATCTCCTTGCATGATAACAGTCGCGTGATGACGTCTGCATTCTGTTGCCATATTTGCTGTTCCACGGGGAGTAAGAAAGCTTCAACGTCTAGAGCTGCCATCAACGTAGCTCTGTATGCTCTGCATATGCTTCTAACCACTCTTGCTTGAATGCTGCGCAGAGCGTCTATTGTTTTGTGTGTGTACGTTTGTGTGCCTTTGTGCAGATTTGCATTGGACCAAATGGAGCAGGCGTACATTATCTGGGGGATTGCGATGGCCTTGTACAATTTGCGCATGTCTTGTAGCTGGACGCCCCAGGTGGAGCTTCCCATGCTACTCAGCATGTGGAGCGTGCGTGTTACTTTCTGCTTGATGATCTCCACATGGTCTCGCCACTTCAGTCTGGTGTCCATGATCAACCCGAGGTACTTGCATGTTCTTGACGGTTTGATCTCGCCCCACTCGGTTTGGATGGGGGCGTCTATGTTGATGCTCTTGAGCGTTCTTGTAAAGTGTGTCACCTGAAATTTGTGTGGCGCGAAGACCGATGCATGTGTTTGCGCCTACTGCCGTGCTTTTTCTAGTGTCGCGCTCAGTGTCTTGCATGTCTTTTCTGTGGTGTCGCCCCACGCTAGGATAGCGATATTGTTGATGTACCCTGTGGACATGGCGTCTTCTTCTGCATTGCACTGTTCAACCAGGTCTGCGTTATAAAAGAGGTAGAGTATGGGGGAGAGGGGGGAGCCCTGAGTTGAAAATGTGATTCTTCAAGTGTAACCATTGACCTATGGGTTTCCAGGTACTTATGTACATGTCTATAGTTCCAGCCTCCATAGGCAGACAAACCTTATACTCCATCGTGGCGTATCTGCCTACAAGCAGATACGCCATCTCGTCACGTGCTGTTAAAAAACAACTCCCTGGGGAATGCCGGTGTTCGTCGCATATACTTCAGATTTGTGCCCATCAACCATTATGTGCGTATGTCTGCCGCTTAAGAAGCTCGATAACCATCTGACTGACTTCTCGTCGACCTTTCGCTTTCGCATATTGTGTAGCAGACGTTTGTGGGATACGTTGTCGAAAGCGCCAGACACGTCCAGCAGCAGTAGGCTAGCCACCTGGCCTTGAGTCCCTTGATTCCATCTATTGTAGATCTTTGCTGTGATGGCGTGTAGAGCGTGTTTAGTAGATTAATGCTTCCTTCCGCCTATGTGTTGTGGTAGAAGCACATGATGGGTCTTAACTAGGTAGCTGAGTCTTCAAGCGATAACCGCATCTATAACCTTGCTGATAGTGTTGAGCAGCGCTATTAGATGGTATGCCTTAGGGACCATGTAGTTAGGTTTGCATAGTTTACGCAGGACTGCTGTAATAGATAGCTGGAAGGCACTTAGGCAGTATCCTAGTTTAAGACTTTAATTAAATAGCCTTGTTTGGTGGGCTGCGATTAGGTCGGCGCCGACCTGCAATGCCTTGTTCGTGATACCGTCCAGGCCTAGGGCCTTGAGTGGCGATGCCGCCCGGATGGCAGTCCAGACTTCTTCTTCCCTAACTAATGGCATCTTGATCTGGCCGCTGTATTTAGCATTCTCTATATCCCCTAAATCTGCTTCGGGCGGTGTGGGGAAGAAGACTTCTCGAAACAGCTTGGCCTTGTCTGCGGGTTCTGTCAGCTCTTGCTGTGTGGTAGGATGTCGTATGGTCGGTATTGCTCTGGCCGTTGCAGGCCGCTGCGGACAGATGGTTCTTGCTCGCAGGAATGAAGTGGGCGGCGCGGAGCAACATGTCTCCGCGTTACGTTGGCTGTCTGTCACGCCTGCCCGCCGGGCATAGCTGTGGATATCACGGCTGAAACCGAGTAGGATTCAATCAATTAGTCAATCAACCTTTCCTCTGTATGTAGCACATGTATATTAAATCTATAAATAGAGTGTTCGTATCACGCTTCAATAATAGGCACCTCATCGACATTAATACCGGGATATGCTACCTGACGAAATCGAGCTACTTGCTCCTTCATCCTTTGAATTTGCCCAGGAGTAAAGTCGCCACGACACGTATCGATGGAAAACCCCATCCAGTTGTCTATTTGATCGTTAGTAACTATCTCGTACTAATCTTACATGATGAGATACGGTCTCAAGAGGAGTAGATGAGTACACTTACGAATTAGGTCAATACCTGGGTGGTTCGGGCAGGAATCTCTTCCTAACTCACAACCACCATTTTTTTCGGGTGCTAGCTCGACAGGCGTGTCATCCACTTCGTCAGTGATAGTTTCCTCACAGTCAAAGCTAACTGTATGGTGAAGACCAAACCACTAACATTGTGTTAGTAATCTCGGACTAAGATCTGTGTCCTAGATTTGGGCACTCAGGGGTAAAAGACGGAAAGTACTGAGGCAACCAATAGGCACTTACATGTCCAACCTCATGAACCAAGGTACCGCCAAGCTGAAGGCCCAAGTAATCTCCTCCACGCCAAGCCCTTCTATGCAGGAACACGCCATCATAATTGGGTTGCCACAGGAGTTCATCAGGAAGCGTTGCCCAAGAAAATCCGGGGTCAAAGTTCGTGCTGTCATTCAGTCAGTCTTACATTGTACACCTTGATAGGCCAGATTCCTGTTGAGGGTGACCCAAGATTCACGCACCCAAAACTGTACACGTTCAAGGTAGCATTTCCTCCTTTCTTGAGCATTATCACTTCGTCCTCAACGTCCGTATTTCGACGAAGATCATGGTACCAGTGCTCGTCAACAGTCCGGATGACTTCTGATACGTAGAAGCTGAAACCGGCAGGGAGGAATGCATTGTTCAAGTAGGCGATTTGCTCATCAATGAGCTGGTTACTAGGAGCCATAAGTTATTTTTGGTTCTGTAACATAGTACAGCTGCTGAGAAAGCTTTCCTCAGGGTTGCTAGTGTTCCACTGAAAAGTGCAGTACAACTCATCGAAAGACAAGCAGTGTAAACGCTGGACACGTTAGAGGTTATAGCTGTTGTGCAATTGTCTTAAAAATCATTTTGACTCAGTTGTCGGGGAGGAAGTATCGAGGGAGAAAGACGAGGGAGGAAACTTGAGCTCGGATCACTTACGGGATATCACCTCCTTCTAGAGTATTATTCGCCATGAGGATCTGCAAGACCATCTATCTACCATTAGACAAATATGTCTTACTTGGACATGCAACATCTATAAAACTCACCTCAATGGGTAGAATTATTGAGCTGTTGTCCACTCTCGAAATTGGCGCGTCAGAACTTGGCGCACGCCGTTCAACAGAGGGTCTTACACTCCGGGTAGTTCCGCAGAGAGCGCCTCTGTGTTAGTCCACGTTAGCCCAAAGCTTTCTTTGATAACATGCCACCTCAATCTTACAAGCTCAAGGGCCTTTCAACTCCGCTATTGCGATGTTGAAGATCAACAGCAGAGGCCCCGACCAACCCTATCAGCCCCAGAATGACAGAAAGATTAATTCTCATGTTGTTGGTGTGAGTGGAGTAGGAAGCGGCGGATAGGAAGTAGGAAGCACATTAGACTCAATATCTATATATCTGAACGGGGGCTCTACGGCGCTATCCATGACCGCCCATGTCATGTTCTCTGCGTCGAATTTGAAGCGCTTCTAAAAATAATTCGCCTATGTTCCAAACGGGAAAGGTACGCTTCATGATTGACGTGTTTCTAGCACTAACAGGCTCGAAAAGTAGGCATGGCGGGGAATTGTGATGAAACGATTGGGTGAGATGCTCATGGCCCAAAAGCCAAGACTTCAACGATCGACGAGGATCGTAAACTCCGAACCCACCGCAGAAGGTCCGATATTGTAACCTGGCACTACCACAGTAGCTAAGATTATCAGCGCTAGTAAAAACCAAGAATAACGTAACGTGTTTTGATCTCGTGATGTGCACGTTCTCGTGATGCGCACCCCACTACTTTTTGGGGTATCACCAAAATGAGGTTATTGAGCCACACACAATAGATATAACGCGGTGGCCGCGCTTCTTCAATGGAGTTAATTTGGAGGAAGTAGCGCCGCTAGCGTACAGTCTAAATCCAATAACAGAACCACTAACGTAGGTGTACAGCGAGCGGGCCAGTACACTGAGCGGGCCACTTTTGCCAAGACCACACCAAAACACTATCACTATCTAAATGCCCCCCTACTAACCCTGTTTTAACGCGTTAAAAGAGTGTTAGATCTAGCTTGCGCTTTAAGCTCTTAAACAAGACATAAAACTCCTAGTATAACGTGCTACAGCTATCTATAGAGTCTCTTAAACTATACTAGACTATTAACGCGCAGAACAACCTTTACGCATTAACGTACCTCACGGGCTAATGGATCACACGGGTCAATGGATCACTTTTGCCAAGACCCTCCCCCATCACACCCTACTTTGGCCCGCATCCGCCCACTATGGGCCAGTATAAGGTAAAACAACCTGTGTTATTACTTAGAGACTACATCTGCATTATTCTTGCACGTTCGCGCGTTGTGCCCTGTCTCTCCGCACGTTCTACACCGTTATTGGGATGGTTCGCCTCCTTCAGCGCGCACCCTCTTCTTTGGCTTCTTACTATTACTATAAGCGCCAAACTCCTTTAGGGTAGCTACACGCTGGGATTCCTCAATTATAAGGGTCCCTTCCTGCTGAATCTGCCTTCTTTTATGTGATTTGCGTTCTATTGCAGCTGCTAGAGCTGCCTGAAGCTTAGTGCGCTCTTTCTTAAGCAAAGCCAGCTTATGCGCTACCTTTGCTCCCCCCTTTGCATAGTGCTTAAGCGCGCTATAAACAGAATTTAGTAAGCTGCCCTGCTGCCTCTTATACTTGTCTTAAATTAGAGTTAATTGCAACTTAAATTTAATTAGGTTTTTAGGGGTTTAGGATTGCTACAGCTTGTTGTTAGTAGGTAGTTAGGGTAATAGAGTCCGCAGCTTTACATTAAGGGTTGAAATAACCTATTGTAGGTTAAAAGGGACTAGTCCAGCCCCTTAGAATCCTCCTTAGATGTTGCTAGAGGTAATAGCTTTATTATAGGCCTCTTTAAAGCATAGCAGGAACTTATACTTTATAATATAGTTAATCTAGTTATATATAAGCCCTTTAGCTTGGCGCCTATACGCCTGCTTTAAAGGGCTAAAACAACCTATATTAAGAGGCTAGAGGAGGTGCAATAAGTGAGCAGGCATATATAGAGATATAATCTAGTTAGCCTTGTAGTATTAGTAAAAATCTAGTAATAGGTAGCTCTTGTAGCCGTCTACTATAAGCAGACAGTAGGTCCCTATAGTGCGCTTCTTTATATGCGCATTAAAGTGCCTTAGCTAGTTAGAACTAAGCTAATTTATAGTCTAGCCGTTTTTAGAGACTCTAATAACCTAGTCTAGCAGCAGAGTTTAATCCTTAGTCTAGCTTAACAGGTAGTTGCGTGCCTTAAAGATAATAAAGGCTAGAATAGCCTACCCTATAGCATTAATGCCCTAGATAACTGTTGCCTATTCTTGGTTGCCTAGCTGGACTTGCTTAGCTCGTCCTAGCTTCTCTGCATCTATAACAACTGCTCTAGGGGTTATCTAGCCTATTATAAAGCTAGTCTTGTTAAAGTTATATATATTATTGTCTAGTATACTATACTTAGCTTTAGTATTAGCTACTAGGTCGAACTAGGCCTATATAACCTCTAAATCCTTATAGAGGGCTCTCTTATAGTTATACTTGCGACTAAACCTTACTCTAAGCCTTGGTTAATAGTTAACGAACGTTTTGGGCTAGTTCTGCCTAACATAGGGCATTCTACGCTCTTCTTGCAGCAAATTAGCTATTGCAGCCACATCTAAGAGGCAGGGAGGACTTCCTTAGTTAATAAGGTTAAGAACATAATTAATAATCGCCTCCTCCTTATACTTGTTTAGATTCTGTTAATTAGCTATAGAATTAGCTTATAAGGACTGTCTAGCGCATCGCTAGCTTAGGGTACTTTAGGGCACGTTGTAGATAGCTGCAGCGCGTTGCTATAAGATTTTCGCGGCTTGTTTAATAGCCTAAAGCGCAAGCTATATCTAACGTTCTTTTAACACGTCTAATTAAGGTTAGTAGGGGGGCATTTAGATAGTGATAGTGTTTTAGTGTAGTCTTAGCAAAAGTAATCTATTAACCTATATAATCTATTAGCCTATAAGGTACGTTAATACTATAGCTAACTTATATAATCTAACTAGCGCTAAAGAGTAGGTAATTATTATGCGCATACTTAAGCTAGTTATGCAAGAAGAGTCCCCTTAGCTTATAATTATAGCTAATATAGCTAATTCTCTATAAAAAGAGCATAGTTTAGCCTCTATTAGCCTAAGGTAGGCTAGTAGGTTTATTTTATATTAAGAGGAGCTTAAAATAGTCTTTAATTGCAAGTATAACTATAAGCAAGCCCTCTGCAAAGATCCTATAGTAATCTAGAGCTAGTTTAGCCTAGTAGCTAATATTAAAGCTAAGTATAGTATTCTAGACAATAACATATATAACTTTAATAAGATAGGCTTTATAATAGGCTAGATATCTACTAGAGTTATTATTATAGATGCAGAGAAGCTAGAATAAGCAAAGTAGGTCTAGCTAGGCAACTAGGAGTAAGTAATAGTTATTAAGGGCATTAATACTATAGAATAGGCTACTCTACTCTATATTATCTTTAAAGCCTACTAATACCTATCTAACTAGTATAAGGATAATAACCTACCCTAAGATTAGACTATTACTATCTCTAAAAACAGCTAGACTACTAATAAGCTTAGTTTTAACTAGTTAAAGCACTTTAATAGGTATATAAAGATATATATTATTAGCACCTACTATTTACTAATTATTAATAGTTATAGAAGCTATAACTCTATAGAATTTAAGCAATACTATAAGGATTATAAGATTATAACTCTATATATGCCTATATACTTATTATACCTCTTATAGCCTCTTAATATAGCTTATTCTAGCCCTCTAAAGAAGGCATATAAGGATAAAGTTAATAAGCTTATATATTATAACGACGCAGGTAATAAGATCCTCTAATACGGTTCCGATTCTACTACAAGGTGTATAGGAGCACTAGGAAAGTCGATAACTAGGGAGAATCTTATTCCTATAGGTCTTATATAAAGAATACTTAAAAACTATCTATCCTAAGACTACTACAAGCCTGCCTTTTATACCTATAAGTCTTAGTTAGCTATAGATAGATAAGAAATATTAATAGGGGTAAGTTAGGACTAAGTTAGAGGGGTGTTAGTTCTAGATAGCTATAGATATGTCTAAGACTTAATTTAGGATTAAGCTAGAGCTAAGTTAGAGGTCGTTTAAGTTAGGTAGTATCTTGTTTATAAGATTCAAGATGTTAATAGTTAATTCTTATATTACCCCCCTCCTTTATAGCTATATCGTCCCTAATATAGTTAATTAGCCTTATGCTTATCCCTGCACTAACTTAGTTCTAAGCTAGCTCCGCTCTGCCTTGCCGTCTCTTTATTTATGCCTTATTATTGTTTATTTGCTATATAAATGTTAACAAAGGACCCTGCATTTATATGCGGCGCGCGCTTAGCAGCGGCTAATAAGGCTGCACCTAGCCAAGTTAGAGGGCTTGCAGGTCTACAATACTGTTTATATAGCAATTTCGCGTCCCTAGTATAACTAACTAGGCTTAGCGCCTGAGCTAGCGGCGAGGTGTAAACAATCGCGCCCGTGTACTAACATTCTCTAACGGATACTACTTTCTGCTATAAGTTAACGTTCTTAATTTTAACTTAGGCCTCTGCTAATCCTTCCCTAGGCTCGTTTCTCGGTTACTATGCCGATACTAGTCCCTCCCAGCGCTCTTGCAGTGGCCTATCGGGTTATCTGCCTTCGTTCTGTGCGTGCCCTGGCAAAGGGCAATCAGATTGAATGGAAGTTCAATTTGAGAACCTTGTCCCAGTGTGCGTACTGCACACAGCAGAATAAGAAGTGTTAACCAGTAACATCACAATATCCTCATCCTACTTATAACCACATGCTAACCTAGGAAGGTTCTAATTTATGTCAGTCCTGAGTACGCCGCTCTTAAGGAGGCGCTTAACGCGTAGGTTGAGGCGTTGGTAGAGGATAAAGAGGGGATTTCAGCTAGGGAAGCTGCTGCTGCAGAGAAGGTGCGCGCAGATACGTGGCGCGACGTTCGTTAGGCAGCGCTCGAGCTTTCTAGTGTTATGCAAGTAGCGACTGCACAACAAGGAGGTAGGTATCCTAACAGAGGAGGTCCAGGCGTTAAGGAAGGTGGTAGCAGACCTTCAGCAGATGTGTAAGGCCGGGGCGTCCGCTTAGGGAAGCGGTTCTGCTGCTAGTGGGAGTTAGGGTCGCGGTTCGCGGCGTAGTGGAGGTGGTTGTCGTGCGCAAGGCAGAGCAGCACAACAAGACAACCTTGAGATGCTAGACAGGGGGGACGAAGAGAGCGAGCTCTCTAACATCCCTTCTAACCTGTCTAACAAGGAACTCTAGTTAGAAGACTTGCCTAACCCAGCCATGTTATAGCTCCGATATATATTAACGTTTCCTTTGTTTTA